CATTCTAGTGAACCGCTAACTGTAGTGAATGTGGAGTCGATTTGTGCTTTATTTTCTAATAGAGAGATAGAGAGCATGAATCTCGAAGTAAAACACGTAGAGAAACTTTGAAAAAGTAAATTATAGCGAAAATTGTCTTTCTTTATATTTTCTATAAGATTAACCTTTATCCCTTCATGTCCGTAGCCGAAAACATGGATAGAAGTTCGTCGAACCACATAGCAAGATGACGGCACATAGAGTAAAAAGCAAATTTTTCAGCGCAGTTGCAGCTACTAATCAGAACACTTTTTGTCGATTCTGAAAAAAGTATATAAGTTTGAAGCTAATTTTACATGGCTGCAAACCAGAAATAAAGGATTAAGCAAACCATTAATCATCGGGAAACAAATAGAACCAATAAAATGTAGTGTATCAGAATTGTATCTGTTGTTAACAGCGAAGGGTTTACAGATGTAATAAGAAAGCATTCGTATCAGTATTATTAATCTTCCGATGAAAGATGTTTAAATTATAATATTCGATCTATACCTGTGATATATACATATAAAAAAGCAAGATACGGTAATATATTCGTGTAAACCAAATTATTAACTATATTCAACAGGAAAATATTATATAACAACTCAACGTAAGTACATAATATAACTCGATTGCATAGTCCTTGTACGATTCCAAAAAAAGTTATTGAGTTATAACCAAATGTATGGCCATAATCAATTAACTCTTGTTGTAATTTATCTAATTCATTATAGATTTCATTCAATTTTGGATGAGATTTATCATGTGCATAAAATGAGTGATTAACACCATCTATTTCTATGTATGTCATGCCTGGGATCTTTTTAAAATTTTCATCATCCGTTTTATGTCGAATCGATTCAGCTTTATCGTATTTCCCTGCTGACGCATATGTATTTGCTAATAAAACACTAACAGATGCACGACAGTTGTTACTGATATTTTTCATTTCATTTATTTTATCATAAATTTCTTTTGCTTTTTTCTCCTCTTTGTATGTTCGACATGCACCAAGTAATGTGGTCCACATAACAATATTACGTTCATTCGTTTTTTCATAATTTTCTATAACTGACTGTGCTTCATCCCAGTGTTGAGAACGAGCTAAAGCATCAACCTAAAACAAAAGTCTTACAGAATGAGGACAACTAAATAGAGAAAACTAATAGATTTCGTCTTCATATAACATAGCGCTTTCTTTGGCAATAAATTTTTCGTAACCTATATGTAGAACAAGTGTAGATCTACAACTTATCGTGGTATCTTAATTTTCGATTGTAGATTACCAATTAGACCCTCGGTTGAAATTTAGATCTGATATTATAATAGTCCCATGTGATAGCTAAAAACGCTGTAGTATTTGAATGATAAGCGGTAAGTCAAAACTTTATAGAAGCCACCGAGATCAGAGCCCTGCAGATTGCCAATATTTGGCAACCTATAACCTAACCTATAAAAAATTTTAGAACCTAATTCTAACCTAACCATTGAAAAACAAAATAGAACAACCTATAGCCTAACCTAGCCTATAACTTTTGCAACCTAATCCTAACCTAACCTATAGGTTAGGTTAGGTTAGGATCAACCTGCAGGGGTCTGATCGAGATCTATAGAGTAATGCAACACATACTTTTACTGATGTCCACAAGTAGGAGAACATAAACAGTGACGCTGAAAATGTATCACCGCGTTACGCCCTGACAAGTAGTTCTCTGGTACTATAGCAGAAAACGAAAAGGTACATGCGTTCGTCACGAAAACAATGGTTTTCCAGGTAGTTCTGCTAGAAAAAACGATTTTCTTTTAAGACGTATTTTTAGTTCAAGTTTAACTTAGAAGACTGTATCAACAAAACATCAAAAGTTCAGACGATGTAGCAGCATCTAGGAATTTAAATAATCAATTTTATGAGATTCGAACTCATAAATCCTCCAATTGCTGATTATGTCCAATAGATATGATTAAACTAGAACACTGTGTTTTAGATAGCGTAAGTCTTTCGGTATCCTACCATCATTACATGAGGGTGTGGTGCAAACGTGAAGACCTACCTCATTCGAAAGGAAATTCAATTCGGAATAAGAATATCACATTTGAAAATTTCCTGAATCTTGACGTGGTGTCTATCGGAAGTCCGACATTTTTCGGTTTTCAGAAAACCTAAGCATTTCAAAGCATTTCAATTGTTACCAAAGAAGACTGGAAGCCCCAAAATACCTTGTTTTGTAGAGAAAAGAACGCTTTATCCGGTGGTATAAGTCATCGGTGTTTGAAATCCCTAGGCTTTCTAACATGATTATTTTAAGTATGAAATTAATGAACCAGTACTTTTCATGATAGATACGTGAGCCGTTAATCACCAATACAAGAGAAAGATTTATATAGAATATACTCAGAACCGTTCTCAAAGAATCTCATAGAATGTACTCAGAATAGCTCATTCAACAGTCAACAAGAACCAAAAGTATTACAAGATTATTTTCGTTTATTGAGTTTTCCAAGAAACTGCTGCAGCAACCAAAGTCTGAGAAATAATTTTTATCGGCTTCGGTTTATGGTATGATTGTTCATACGTTGTAAACCGTTACGTACAAGCATTAAGGACACTGTGAATTTTTACTGTACTGGTTAAGGTGAGAAAACCGTAGATTTCTCAAAAACTCTTACTTCATATATAGGAAAATTTTTGAGAAAAATAAATATTGCCACGAGATTCAGCGTGGTTAAAAATGTCTGTATCCATCTCTTTATAAGATTGTTGAGTTAAAGAAAGAATCAAGCATATCCCAGCACAAGTGCTCCTCTCGACGAAAAGTGAAAACTAAAATCTGGAGCCTGTATAGTTCGATAGAGCATAGTCTGATAGTTCGAATCCATTTAGGGACATTTAAAAACATCCGTTTTTCTTACCCTGGCGACCTGATCTTTCAAAGATGGATGAGATACACCACCTGCAGGTGGTATTTTTAAGTATTTTTTTCCATAGACTTACGTCACCTGGTGTCTTCTTTCAGAAATTGAAAAGCACACATTTTTAACACGGCTCAATAGTTATTCAAAAACCAGTGACGAAACATTATATTTTTAAATGAACAGTATTAATGGTAATCGTACTGGTCTCTAGTACATTACCGTCAGTATTGATGTGTAATGATCCTGCCACTACCATTAAGTCTGCGGTAAACACGCGGTCCACTGAACAGACATCCATTTCTCTTTTACGTTATATTAATGAAACAGTAGCGGGGATAAGTTTTAGAAATTCTAAATGGTTGAACGTTTTCATTATCATGAAAATACCAAAACTCACCATTGCCGTTGTTACAAATTTGTTTCGATATCTTTCGTCTATTAAATAAAATATTTCTCTTGCTGCATCGACTAAACCCGAATGACTGCATGCATTTAATACAACAACAAAAGTTTTATCATTTGGTGTCCACCTTTCTTGCTCTCTCATTCTTCTGTACAACTCTATAGCGTCAAGACCTTGACCATTGAAACCATAACTATTTATCATCGTATTATATGTAGCTATATCATGTTTATTCATAGAATCAAATATTCGTCTAGCATTATCAATATCACCAAATTTGCCATACATATTAATTAATGCATTATTAATTATGATATCACTCATTTCTTTATTCTTATTCATTATTTCATGGTGAATCAACCATCCTTTCTGCCTCGATAAACACATACTACATGCATCAATAACAAGAACATAAATTCCATCACTAAGCTGAATGTTATTTCTAATCATTTCTTCATATAATTCAATCGTCTTTTTAGGCAACCCATTAGCATTATAGCATTTCATCATCGCACTAAATGAGATAACGTCACATTTCTTCGATATTTTCGAGAATATTTCTTCCGCCTTTTGCACATCAGCCATTTTCCCGTACATATCAATTAATGTGGTTTGTATAATCAAATTGTCCTTGTTAATAGTGTTATTTTTCATTATATCCATATGAATTGATTTCCCTTTTCCTAAAATTCAAACGTATAATTCAATTCGAAGATTGCTCGTAACTGATCACAATTGGGAATAAGTAAGTACTAAAGAATATCTATCAGATTACAACACTGAGTGAGCTCTCTATCTGGAATCTCTCTTTTCCAGCCAATAAATAGCAACAGATCATCTGAAACGATAAAGCATACTGCTTAGGGAATCACGAGAAAAACATTAGGCGCAAAGTCTGTAATAAAACTCGATCATAATATCAAAGAAAAAAAATTCGAGAAAACTTAGACTAGCGCATGGATTGTTGATCAAATAACTACATACTTTCTCAGTTTCTGCAGTATACTGAGGCGTATATTCCTTTAATGCAGTCAGAAAAGCTCGACTTTATTCCGCAGAACAAGTTGCAAAATTTTCATTGGATGGTGAGTCTGCGAGTCTGTCAATCGAGATACATATAGCCCAATCCTTGTTGTATAGAATCTAAGGATTTTCAAGTAAAACATGTGTTTGTTGATTGATTTGTTATTGTTTTCACAATAACATTTTTCATATTTTGTACGCTACGTTGCCTCTATCTAATACTATGCAAATTCCATCTTATTTGAGCTAGCATTCGATTTTTCAGATTTTCGTCTTTTTCTGCATATCTATCAAACTTTTGAAGTAATTGTAGAGAGTCATCCATAGTAAAATTTCTATCTCCCCGAGTTTTATCGATGAAATCTTTTCTACAACTTAGGATGTATGATAGATTTGCCTCTACGGAATGACATATATATACGGTCTCTAACATTATGCTATCAAGAGATATCGTTATTTACTGTAAAAAAAGTATTCAGTTACTACTACTTGATGAAGAAATCGTCTAAATATGTATTCTCAAAGTTATCAGTTCGAATGCAACACTCGACTACATACATCCTTCAATACTTTCGATGAGCTCCGAAGTCCTTGCAGAGTTATTAATTAAAGCTTTTGGAAACTTTAATAGAAATCTCTCGAGTCTGAGTAGATTAGATCTTACTGTATCAGAAAGAAAATAGAGCAAATATTTTTCTACAATTGTTACGCTGGCAAACTCCGTGCGTGCGATATCCTGTTCCAAAATTATTTCTAAAATATTTTTAAGAAATGGTTTCAGCCAGTTTGTACAGCGTCGTCTAGGCTGTCTAAACCTGTATTATTATTTATTTATCTTATACAAAAGAGCGGGAAACTTTAAGAAATTTTACTATTCAATAGGTTCATATCAATGGTCAGACATTTAAGAAAGAGATTAGTAAAAACAATATGATAAAATATATTAGGAAAGAAACTATCACTCTATATTACAAATTTACTGATTTTTGAAACTCGTTTTTATTGATATTTCACACAAAAACAGTGAACACCATAGAGTTCGGGCTTTCAATACCTGGAATGGGAAGTGATAAACTTTCAATGATTGCCCCAAAACCTTGTTCTGTAACTAAAACTCAATTATTTTAATTTATTAATCTATTAAGAAATCCTTATCCTATACACTATCTAGCTCTAATCTTTTCCTCGTCTACATAAAATAGGTTGAAAAAAATGTACATTTGGATCAAGTTTGAGAATAATGACGTATCTATCCTTCTAAATTTTCTTCACTGATCAGTTATGTACTAAGTTTACACTTAACTACATATATGTATATAAAGTGAATTATAGAAGAATAATGTGCGTGAGAAGTTGATTTAAACCTTGTATTGTTTAGTGATTTTCGCATTTTATTTTTCAGCTAAAACTACGTTAATTCTCTCACGAAACATCCTATAACAATTAGCTCGAATAATACTTCCACAGACTATTATTCATAACTGTAAGATATATGCTAGCAAAAACAAATATTTATTGGTTTCAAAAGATAATCTCCCATTTTGTATTAATCTGTTCCTTCCATATAATCACACGAAAATCCAATGCCTAACGTTTTCAAACAAAGATTGATCTTCTTTAACGGACGTAAAACACTCGTCTCAGTCTAAGTAGAAATCTGAATCTCAAGCAATATGCTATGACTTAATAGAAGAACGTTCACTTCTAGACATTTCTTTGAAAAAACGCCGTTACAGAAACATTTATAATAACGGTATTTTTTAGTCGACCTTACTTTTAAACAACCATATTGGCACCATTCGAAGTGTGTAACAGGATGGAGTAATTTATTATGGGACTTTACCGTGCAGGCTTTCATCTAGCAGAACAATTGGAAGAGCAAAAAGTAATGCGGTGATCCTCCGATAATCTCATAAACAGTTTAACGTCTTTGATCAATAAAAAGATGCCGCTGGCATTAGTCGAATGAGACTCTGCGTCGATGATGCGACTTGCATCACAGTATAATCGTTAGAGAATAAACGGTCCTTTAAAAAAAAACATATAGGAATATCGTTCATTGTCAGTAATGCAACACACAATATTGCAACAGTACAATATTGTGGCTACAAAAGAGATATGATCTCATCAATTTTCTTAGTCAATATACTTACCTAAACGAACACAGTCACCACATGCTGCAAAAACTAATGTGTAAGTAACAGAACTTGGCTGCATTTTGACTTTAATCATTTCTTCGTATAATTCAATCGTCTTTTCTGGTAATTCATTAGCATTATAGCATTTCATCATCGCACTAAATGAGATAACAGTACGTTTTTTCGATATTTTCGAGAATATTTCTTCCGCCTTTTGCACATCAGCCATTTTCCCGTACATATCAATTAATGTGGTTTGTATAATCAAATTGTCCTTGTTAATAGTGTTATTTTTCATTATATCCATATGAATTGATTTCCCTTTTCCTAAAATTCAAACGTATAATTCAATTCGAAGATTGCTCGTAACTGATCACAATTGGGAATAAGTAAGTACTAAAGAATATCTATCAGATCACAACACTGAGTGAGCTCTCTATCTGGATGGAAAGTCTTTAGTGAAACTCGATCATAATATCAAAGCAAAGAATTTGAAGGAAGGGCACCCAAGTGTGCTCAAATTAGTAGTAACGATTAGATCCTGCGAAGAAATCGATCTAGACAAGGTATAGAGTGTCTGCAATTTTGGTACACTCATGTGCACCAATCTAGAGCTCAATCATATTTCATTACTATTTCAGGTGACATACTTAGTTTCAGACAATATAAAGCATTTGTTTAACGATAGAAAAAATTAATAATAGTGTAATTGTATTATTGAGATCAGAGCAAATGGAAAAGTGAGACAGTAGTCTAAAGAAAGCAAAATACACGTTGTATGAATCAATCAGCTGTTGTGTATTCTGACTAATTAATAAACCTACCTAAACGAACACATTCACCACATGCTGCAAAAACTAATGTGTAAGTAATAGAATCCGGCTGAATTTTGTTTATAATCATTTGTTTATATAAATCAATTGTTTTGTCGGGTAGTTCATTAAAATTATATCCTTTCATCGTTGAGTTGAATGTAATAACATCACGTTCATTTAGATTATTGAATAGTTTTTCAGCGTTTGTAATATCACGACATTTGAAGTACATATTTATTAATACATTTTGTATTTTAAGGTTATTCTTTATATCATCTTTAGTATTCATTATCATTTTATGTATTTCTTTTCCTTTTTCTAAACTTCCTAAATCACTACAAATACCAAGAACTAGTAAATAAATGATATAATTTGGTATTAGTTTCTTTTTATTAATTCCATCATGAAATAACTTCAATGCTTCTTCATTTTGTTTATTTGTTTTATATCTCTTCAATAACACCCCCCATTCTAACACACTATTATTGGTTAATGAAGCTGAATAACGATGACTGTTGATATTTATTATTGCTGCAACGAATAAATATTGAGTTCTTGTTCCCAATACTCGTATTGTTTTTAACAACTGACACTTAAACATCTAGAATTGGAAAGTATCGTTGTTGAGTATCGTCAGTATTTTACGAGTATAACAATGAATGGTAAATTATCGCGCTTTTTAGGGTTGTACTAAACAAATGAGTAGTATGAAGAGCTTCACAAATGTTGAATTCAGATCATTAGGATTAACTTTACAGGTAATTTCAGTGCATTTTTCAACTGGAGATTTTCTGAAAAGATTAGACTCTAGACGAAACGAACAAAAATAGTCAGTATCTTCTTTAGAAAACAACAACAAATAATAAAATGTAATTTTCGTTATTCATCACTACCAGATGAGTTTATTTTGATTTGAAATAGTCTGATATTTTCGTAGAAAAGTTGGCACTTATTTCTTTGTATACTGTATGTTTTGTATCGAACATGTCAGCTCCTATTCATAGAAAAATAGCAATGAAATTATACGATAATCCTTTAGCTGGTGTTCTTCTTCAGACAGAGTAGCAGTAAGTAGAAGAACAACAGCAAAAGAAGTACCTGTTAGATACAAACGACTTTCGTCTGTCAACATAAAACATCTTTTTGTTGGCAATGTCTAAAACATATGTGGAGGAAGTATGCTAATTATTAGTCCTGACTATCGGCCAGTCTTGATGAAACGTTAAAAGCGGAACCACAGATCGTATGAAATAGTTCTTTCAACAATGCACCTATAGAAAACGTGGTGTTCTTACTTTTAGTATCAAACTGTTTTATTATATCGGCTTTGAGAGAGTCGCAAACAAAACTTGTCAAAATGAAGAACTAGATGTGGAAGAAAACAAACTTTTTAAAGTCAGAATTAGTGACGTGTAAATACTAGCGAGAAGTAGTACTGCTAATATGTTCATTGTCTCCTGGCTTCGTACTGATGTTTCTCCAAAAAGGAGTAATTAAGGAGGAATAGCAAAATCTTTAAAGGAGGAACGCTAATAAAAAAGGAGGATATAAAATTCTAAGCTAAAGAGACTAGTTTAATATAGTAGATAAACGCAACAGGAGTTGATTATTTCTTAACACAAAGGCAGTTATCGATAAAGCTCCGTTAGACAATAATATCAAAGTAGAACAGCAGTTTAAACTGTGTAATAGCACT